CTTTCGAACGAATCTGTACGTGATCTATCCATAAAGGATAGAATAACATTTATCTGTCGTGCTTAGTAATTCTTTCATGCCCTACATCTACTTGTTCATTTCTTGTAATTTAGATTTGATTGCTGATTGAAAAATTACTGGTCGAATAACGTGTTGGTGTTCTGTAGGGTAGTATCTTGAATCCATTGATTTTTTACTATCTACATCAACAATTTGTGCAGACGCTTCAACATTATTAAGACCCACGATGATTATTTAAAAGTTATTTATAAAACCGACGTCTGTGAGGTACGTTGTATTGCGCAAACAATCCATCATGAACTCAACAAGGTAGATAACTGATGTAGGGACAGGAGCTTGGGACTCGACACAGAGGAATATGGCTGGTTATTTATCAGAGACGCGTCCGTTAAAACAAAACTGACTTGCACCGAAAACGTGCTGCCAAAACTCACATTGTTAAAAAACCTTGGGGAGGATCGCTCTCACAGTCTTAACTTCTCTGAGTATATCATCACTAGAACACCTAAAATGCAGAAGTCGATAGGCTCCATTTTTCGTAGCGTCTTTCAAAGTGGATCTAAAATCACTCTTTACAAGATATGTGTAAGAACAAACGTTGAATACCGTTAGTTCCTATTTTCCAAAAGGCTCCTATCCGATCTACAAAAGATAAGAGGAATACAGCCGGATTTGATTCCTAAAATGTTTAAAACTGATTCTCTCTCTGACTATCCTAGGACTTAAATTTTTTTGTAATTAAGGCTTAGGTCCCATTTGATTCTCCGCCTTAATCTTTTCAAAAATTTTACTTACACCACATGTGATGTGGCTCTTACCCAGGGCCCATATATATACGACCTTTGGGATAAAGTATCTAGGGTCAAAGTTGATAAGTATCGATGAAGTAGGTACTATTATGGAATAATTGCGGATACTGGGTATGCTTTCCTACATCCGCTACACAGACCAACATCTATAATTTTATGTCGGATTCGTTAATAATATTTGCCTAAGTAATGGTGTAAATTTATATTTACAATGAAATCCAGGACCATCATTTACCCAATCACCTTGTTTCGTTTTCAACTGGGCAATAGAGCGTATGTTAACTACCTAGACAGTTATTCTTCAGTCGAAACCTTCTTTCGGGTTCTACAAATGTCGTTATTAAAAATTAGCCAGGGAGTATTATATGTATAAAGATATCGTAGTGACTCGCTTTAGTAAAGAGAAGAACGAATATCTCATTTGATGGAGCGACATCAGAGTATGGCTGAGCACAATGTGGGTTAAAATGATTTGGTTCTCCAATGAATATGGTGGTGTGTGAAGCAACGAGCTGCTGTATATGAGCGTGTGTGTATATTATGGCATGGTGCTCCACATCAAATTCTTTCTGATTCGTTGCGTTTTACAGGACCTAATTGTTGTTCGTCCATTCTTTTACCCTGTCTTTTATTTCAACTTTTACGATAGGACTCTTTAAACAATCGTTTATATTCCTCGATCTTTCAGGTCTGGTCTTTTGTTATTTGACTTTGGGATCTGTCTTAATTACTTGTTTTGTCATTGTAGAACGCCGGACCATTGGAGATAACGTTGCCTTCGACTGAACTCAAGGTCATGCTGTGGTTCAGTCCATTTGAAAACAAGTAATACTTGATGTGATGAACTCGATTCACCATATCTCGTCGAATTCTAGGAACCTGCCTAGTATTTCTTTTATGTCACCATATGACTTTACATATGAATTATTTGCACCCGGCTCATCTCTATTTCAAGCTTATCAGAATGTTTTTCGACGAAGAAATATGAGTTTTTTCATTTTCCTGACGACTTCTAGACAATATTTACGTCCTATAAAATATACAAATTTCCAGGTACTCTGTCTTTCAATACTACGTTTGTGAGTAAATAATTGTATCCAAAATAGGAATTTATAATTATTCACAACACCGTATACATTAGTTCTACACTGTTGTACTTGCTAGAATTTTTCGGACTTCAGTCACCAAGAAAAGAGACACCTCAATGGTTTGATTGAGCCAATAAAGAAACAAGTAAATGGCTAATCAAAAATGGGAGTTTCCAAAGGGGAGAAAATTTCAAAATGCTGACCCAAAACTACACCGATTGACTATTGCCAAACTTTGTTTTGTAGTCGTTTACTCTTGTTCTGTGTTCATAAACACGCCTATTAAACTATTTGCGTATTTCACGTCTCCCTTATTTCTATTCCCTTATTTTCTTCCTTTCCTTCTTTAAACTCAATTCAATATTCTTCTCAATCACATAGAACCTGATTTATTATTATTATTATTCTATTATTGTTATTATTATTCTCTTTTTCAAATTTGGCAAATATAATGCTAATATTATTGAAACTTGCGTATTATTGCGTTTTTGAAAAAACCCGAAATGGTTTCTTCACAACACTTATGTACCCATAAGATGTTTGTGAATAATAATAATAATAATAATAATAATAATAATAAGATTGACATCATGAAAACAAAAAATTACGTCTTCATCATGTGACTAGTCTCCCGAGATGAGTGTCATTAACAGAATATTCAGATGTAAATAGCATAAACTCTGCGTTATTCTTGATGTAGTTTATTCAGTTTGCACTCTTTGCTGAAGTTTGCTGATAATAGTGTACAATATTTGGAGAGGAAACATTTATAGGAGACTCATTGTCTTTTCGACACAGCTTCACGTTTTCAAAAGTTGATCATTCGTGGTTATTTCAAGGACAGTTCGTATGTCATCTGATAAAATAGCAGTGGGACATGAAATAGGGTGTTTTTCCTCATCATTTGCAAAGAAACGTATATCAAACCAATTATAAAAGATTAGGCACAAACTCAACATTTGTGTCATACAACCTCACCACGTTTTAAGTGTGTTTATTGCTATGTGATGTTGTTTTGCGTAGATTTGTCTATCATAACTTCCACAAATTAAGTCGTTGATCCTAAAATTTCTATTCTGTGCAGTGAATGACTGGCTGTTTATGGTTTTCTCGCGACAGATCTAGCTGTCTACATTTCTTCGAGGTGCTGTTACCAAGGCTAGACTTGATAATTTCAAAGAAATTAAGCATTGGCCAGATATATAATAGTAGAAATAGTATATTTGTAATGTCCCAACTGTATCTTATTGCATAAAAATAACCCACTTCTTTATCATTTAGCCTACACAAACTCAGATAAATAAACGTGCCTTGCATATATTACCTTGACCTAAGTGGTACGAAATTGACTTGGTCAGACCTGTTCTTTTGATAGATACTCTCGCTTAGTTCCTTTGATACTATTTAAACTTGTGTTGGTTTAATTCGATCATTTATTCGCTGGAGAAGTGGCTTAGATCGAGTCACAAAATGTCAGAAAGTTTGGAAAGTTTAACTTTTCTACTTACAAGGATATTACAAGTGTACTATTATTAATCTCTGACTTGGATGTTTGAGGACCGTTTAATTGCTACCATTTGGTCGTAGTGGGTCCCCTTTGGTAAATTAATAAATTAAGTACTCACTCCTGGCGGAAGCACTTACTTCTCCTTGTAATTTGACACTTGTGTAGGCACTTGGATTTACCAGGATAATACACACACACTAAACAGGGTGGAGTATCTGTTCCATTATTGTCGATTTAGCCTCTCCTTGCTTTTCGGTAGATCACCGCCGACACTTCAACATTTAATGGGACAAGGAAGTTTCAGACACTTTCCGTCTACTTTGCTAAGCTTTTCTGTAGCTGCCATGTTTCTACTATTATTTTTCGTAACAACACCACACTGCTCCATGTTAGTGCCCGTAAGTGACATTTATGGCCTGTGAATTCGTAAGTGAATGTGCCAATCTGTGCGCATCATGTCTCTCTCGGAGTTGTGGTTTCTTTGGTCACATTTTCGACAGCTGTTGATGGGGCTGAGTACGGGAGCCTCTAGGGTACGTGGATTTTTATGTTTGATGAATTTTGTCGTTAGATTTTTCTCATACCACGAGAATACGCACTTGGATAGTGGGCGTTGCGACACAGTATGAGCCGATTGCACTGCTTGGATATTATGGTGTCACAATGTAAGTGAACCCAGTCACCATAGTAGCCGCCTTTCGATTCGGAGGCGCTCTATCCATTTAGTAGATGGTACACTATGCAACCGTCAATTTCCTGTCTTACTTCTTGGACGGACAGTGTTTCTGAGTATTTAGTCATGAGGCTCTCTCCCTTGCTATTCTTTCACTGCTTACATATGTCATTGGAGATAAAATCTTTGTCTGGGTGGGATCCCTTCTGCCTAATGAGGTATTAACGTTTGGTGTTTGATTGATGTGATCAATACTGTGTACATAACCGTGGGGTATTTTCGAAATAGTTTGGGGGATTTGAACTTGCTAATTGGGGGTTATTTGTGGATCTTTGACTTGTTATCAACTCCTTCAGTAAGGTCCCGATCAGTAGTCTTTATTGTCGCACTGCAGGTACCCGGAGGTATACTAGGACCGCGCGTCCTATCAAGCCGATTCACGCAGTCGCAGCAGTTGTTCCATAGATCCACCGTTTGCACGTGACTGAACAGTTAAATGTTACAGTTGCGTGAGATAGAGAGATGGCAGTTGGGCGAAATAATAAGTCTTATCACTCGGAGGCCCAGTCTTATTTTGACAGCATTTAGAGAGCATTCCACTGTGGTTGATCTTTCAGCGAAGCCAACTACAATTAGCATTTTCAGAGTGGTTGAATACTTCGAGTGTGTTGTTAAAATCTGATGGCTTCTGCTTGTTATTGATTAGCATAAGAGTTCGCCACAGACCAACCTCAGATTGTTGCAACGATACGACAGTGAAAGCTATCAAAAGAAAGCTGGCCGTGACATACTTACTCTTACAGACTGTCAAACACGGGAGCCCGTTAAGCAAAAGCTTCTTCTATTCCACCTACAACCATCTGAACCATTTGAATCAATCTACTTTGTCTGCTTCGAAAAGACTGAAGTATACAGTTGGCGGGGTGAATAACCTTGGAACCGGCCTTGCGTTTAGAGCTCACTTCAATGTTGACGTTCGAACCAATCAGTCGAATAGCTGTTGTAAGTATACTCTGTATATTTTAATATGATTGCTTGTCAGAAGATAAATAAATTTAGACCCAGTCTGTGCATCGCTTTTAAGTGAATTTAGCCTTAAAAAGATGTAAGGCATTGTCATTTTTTGACTCATGAGGTAGTCATGAGTTTATTGTTCTAATGCGTCCACGTAAATTTACTTCATCTCAGAAAGTTTGTCCAAAATACCCATCCATCAATGAATATTCCTTCAGTCGGTTTTGTATAATGAAAACACTTATTAGGAGACCATATAAGTCCAAAAGATTCATAAAAGAGCTGATTTCTATACCTCTAGGAATAGGTTATGGCCTTCGTTATTGATAGTCTGAATTATGTAGCACTTGTCCTCAGTGGGCGAACATGTCATTTTCAATATGATTACATGGCGAGACTATAACTTTTGGACGAACCAACCAAATGCTGTCTACCTACTTGAATCAGCAGTCATTTTTTGGAAAAGTACAGAAATTGTCCAATCAGTCCGAAAACTAACTATGGTTGCCTTGCTTGTGGTTGCGTCTTCTCAGTTGTTAAAATACAACGATGAGTAAGTCCTTTCTCCAGTCTTCAGTCTCCAGTAAGAATAGGAGGTCTATCGAACTATATTAATCCTTGCAGTTTGTAATACTGTGGAGGTCCAACCTCGTTTTGAATATATTAACAGATGGTGCTGATATAACGTGTTCTGGTAGAGAATTCCAGTAATTCACTACTCGGTGCGAGAAACGAAACTCCAGACGTAAACGGTTTGATCTCGGTTTTTGAACTTTCTTCGAATGTCCTCTCGAATGATCGGTTCTAGACCGAAGCAAAAGATAAGACATGTTAATACTAAGGTCATCGTTCAGTATACGATAGGCCAATATTAGATCACCCCGTATTCTACGGTAAGATAACGGAAATAAGTTAAGATGTCTCAGTCTGTCTTCATAAGATAGGCCAGATAGACCTTGTACCATCTTAGTAGCTCGTCGTTGGACTCTTTCTAGCATATCTGCTTCATACTTGAAACAAGGACACGCTGCTTGAATCCCGTATTCTAAATGTGGTCGCATATAAATCGGGTATAGTAATCTAAACATTTCATCATCTAAATACTGGAAAGACCTACGAATTGACCATAATACCCTATAGCCCTGCGCAGCAGCAGCCTTACAGTGACTAGTGGTTTTGAGATCATTGCTTAATATGACTCCTAAATCTTTATAGTTTCTTGCTTTGGGTAGCACGAATCCACGTAGTGTATAGTCATACGATTCATCAGAGTTATTTAACTGCATCACTACACTCTTATTAGGATTTACTTCTAGTGACCACCTGTCTAGCCATGCCACCAATGAGCTAAGATCGTCCTGTAATACTATTCTATCCGACATACTATGTATGGGTCTCCAAATCTTTATGTCATCAGCGAAGAGTAGAACGGATGATTTTGCTACAGTTGGCAATTCATTTACATAAAGTAAAAAGAGAAGAGGACCTAGGATTGTACCTTAGGGAACCCCACTTTTTACAGGTACCCACGAGGAGAGAGCCCCATGAACCCTTACCCTTTGTCTCCTGTCATGGAGAAAGTTACTTATCCAATCCACGACTGTATAATGGATTCCAAAACGTTCCAGTTTGAATTTAAGACCAGAGTGGGAAACCTTATCAAAGGCGTTACTTAGATCTATGAAAATCACATCCACAGGAGTATTCCGATCCTTTGCCGCAGCCCAATCTTCTCGTGCAATGACAAGATTTGTCAAGCAAGATAGGCCTTTCCGAAAACCATGTTGTGCCCTAGAGAAAAGATTTTGCCCTTCAACATAGTTTATAACAGCTATCCGAATGATTTTCTCCATCAGTTTTACAACTGCACTAGTTAAGCTAACGGGTCTATAGTTACTAACTAAATCCCTATTCCCAGCCTTATACACCGGACTTATTATAGCATCTTTCCAGTCTCTAGGAAGTCTGGACTGTCTCAGAGACATGTCGAATAGTATCGCTAATGGTTCAGCAATTTCATCTGATATGGCTTTCATAATCCTAGGATGAATATCATCAGGACCACTGGACTTATCAGGTTTGAGATGCTGAAGTAGCCTCAAAACAGTATCTTTCTCAATGACTACAGAATCCATCAGAGAGCCGTCACGGTCGCGATGAGTCGTTGGTCGTTCCTCATTACCGATGAAAAACACTTTACTAAAATATTCCGATGAAGCTTCCGCTTTTTCGGCATCATTCTCTGCTAAGATTAACGGATTATCTCGTATCAAAAGTGATGGAATTCCATCGCTTCTCTTAGTTCGCCTTTTTATATACGAGAATAACCGTTTCGGACTATATCTAGAATCCCTAACCAATTGTTTTTCGTATGATAGTCTAGTCTTGCTTATTAACGCTTTACAGGCATTCCTAATCTTACAAAAACTGGGTCTGTATTGTTCTAAGCCAGTAGAGATGAACATATTCCAGTGATTCTTCCTTTTTCTAAGGAATGATCACTTCATTAATTTGCCAAAAAAGACTATCTTTACGTCTCGAAGGGCAGCGATTAAACGGTCTTCAAACATTCGACTCAGATATGAGAAACCGTAGATGGTTAGGGATGTCCTAAGAAAACCATCGATGAACAGTCAATAACTGTCCAGCACAGTGATTTTTGGGGTTAGCAATTTAATATGTAGAAGTTCGGACAACCGAATTTACACAACACAACGGTGACTGTCGTTGTTGCGATTACCAGGCGTACATGCGACTATGGTAAGTGGTGTGTCTTGGTTTCTCCCATCCGTCAAACCCAAAAAGTAATCAGGCCTCTCCATATAATGTCTATTAACTCCAGGAATCGAGGGAATCTGACCAAAACCGTTCAGATCTGATACTTCATCAGTATTGACGTACACTATCAGGTAATGTGTCATGAAAACTACTCTAGATCGTTAAGCCATAGTCTAAACAACTAAACAAAATCAACCCTAGTGTCGGTTGACCTCGATCAACAACCCATTATCCAGGACATCGAGAGCACAACAGCACGAGCTGAACTTGCAGATGAAATAATGTACCAACCTGCCCTAGACTAAGACCTGTTGGGAATGCCGCGAGTGCTGTGAATCCACCATCTTGACTCATCTCAACAGTCAATGGCTTAATGGACTGATACCACGTTTTGTTTAAACTTGAAATTGAATGACTGGTCTTGATTCAACCATCAATTTCGTTTTTTCAGCTAATTGTCGTCTGTCGGTTTAGGAAGTGGTCCGACTTATGCAGTGTTCGTACCTCGTTAATCGATTCCTCAGTTTACCTAGTACCCTGTTTCTGACAGCAGGATTATTAACTTAGTCTTTCTACGAGGTGCGAGCAGTGCTTCGAAGACAGCCATGATAAAAGCATGCAGCCTACAGACGTCTTATACTTTCATAGACAGTTTCAGTCATAGAGTGATATAAAGCGGACTGCTGCACAGTATACTCGCTTCTTGACTGAAAACCGATATCTCACTAGTATTAAAATCTAGCTATCTAATATTGAAGTAGTTGGGATGTTATTATAGCCTAAAACCTTTTGATTTAAAACTGAGTACTTCAGTCTCCCGCTTAAGTTGGTTTGTACGAATTCATCGACTGGTTTCGTTTGCACTCATTCTTTTTAGTTTCACTGCAAACAATGTCTGATATCACGTCGGATTACCTTTCAGCATATATCGTCTTGTTTAGTGCATATTTTCATTGAATGTTTGATGTTATTTATCTATTTACCGCCATAGTTATATATGTAGGAGAATGTATCATATCTCTTCGTATTAACTTAGCAAGTTTGTTAAATAGCTGCTTTTTCATTGTGACCTTATGTAAATTTTAATGTAAAATAATTATTCAGTCTTACAGGTATTGTGCTGCTAAACATTGACAAATTATTTAAGATTACTAACCGATTCAAATCATTATAAGCAGAGATGAATAAAGGTCAGCAGTGTAATCCAGGAATCACGTTTCGTCCCATTTGAGACTCGTCGTCTAGATGTACCTGAATTCCAGCATGAGATTCAACTGTGGGACCCAGGTACATCCAGCCGATGAAACCCAAATAGGACGAAACTCAAGTACTGGATTACACTGCTAGCCACCATTCATCTCTGCTTATCATGCTTACGACTCAGGGCAATTTCAAGGCAATTCACACAGAATTCACATATGTCAATAACAGACTGATCGATTGCAGCCCTCAACTTTTAAAAAAAATGCAAACTACCAATACAAATGATTCAAGTCATGTTGGATCTTTCTGTAATTTTTTTATCGATATATCAAAATTTTAGCATTACTTTCACTTGATCCTTCTTTCTGTTTTTCAGGTCAAATGTTTGGGACCACGTTTAGTTTTGTTCTTTAAAACATTTGCTTTATTCTATGTTCTTTATCCGAAATATGAGTCGACTGTGGGTTATTGTGTTTTTAAATGCGCACCTATTTTATCACTTGTTGCGTTTGTTTATATGTATGGGGTTAAGATACCAAACAATCAAGCCTATTCTTTAAAAATTTTCCTTGGTCTTCTATTCTCTTGTCTAGGCGATGCATTTTTGGTATGGCCTAGTCTTCTTATTCCTGGCATGGCTATGTTTGCCATTACACATATATTATACATTTACGCATTTGGTTTTCAACGTTTAAAACTATCTATATTGTTCATTTTACTGCCAATACTTCTCTGTGTATGTGTTTCTGTAAAAGAAGGACTAGACGGTATCAATACACTTGTTATTCCAGCTTATGGATTAATATTAGTAATTATGGTATGGCGTGCATTAGCCCAATTAACTAAACATGAATATTCTATACCATGGACATGTATAGCTTCTGCCGTTGGTGGATTACTATTTGGTGTATCTGATACTATATTGGGAATTTGTTTATTCTCTAGTGATATATCGTCATTTAAATGTAATTTAATTTTACCAACGTATTATGCTGGTCAGTTGTTGATTTCTGTATCTGTTGTTGATAGTCATTTAACATCAATAAAAACGAGTCCATATCATGAAGATAAAAAGCAGTTGTAGTTGCGTTCCTTTATTAAATAAAAAGCCTTTTCTTCCATCACCTGTTTATTTTCTCTACTTTTTGACACATATTTGTCTTCATTACTTCTTTGTACTTTTTAGCTTGCTTATTATTTCACGATGTGTTTATATTGTTGTTCATAGTTGATGATAAATAAATAAACGCTTATTTTTGCATCTGTTATCTTGTTTTATTACATACCTGTCTATGTATGGCATTGTTTCTTGTTAACTATATGATACTTCAATCAGGTGTGGTAGGTAGTATAAAGGTAGTAAAATCTCAAAATAATCATACAATGAAATACTACAGGGTATCAAATTTAATTTAAAGTTTTCTTTAATTGGGGAAATTTTTCACAGTAAATTTTCGGGTTTCGGTCAGCAATTAGAGTCAAGGATGCATGTTTTGTCCTATTTAGGATTTGACAACTAGACGTTCATGCATCATTTTAGAGCTATAACTTAGTATTTATCGCTGCGATGCGGATGCATACATTTGATAACTACTTAGTAATATGAAATACGTCTCTTGGATTTTGGTGCCCATCATAATTCAAGAATTTACCAAAAACATCCATTTCTAAGCAATATCGATGCATCTATTGAGGATGTTTATGTGTCCACAGAGGTTGTGTTGAATATCGAAAACCGGAAAATACAAACTTTCAGATAACCGATTATGGTTTGATACAGCTCTTAGTGCTTCACTTTCTAATAAGACTATTCAGAGGGCTAGTTTCCGTAAAATATACCTCATTAATTTGTTTTTCATTGATAACGGATTATCAGCACTACTTTCTTCGAAATAAAGTAGTTGTTAGATTACTTGCCATGTCAAAAGGTGTGGCTACAATTGATGTTCACTTCTACATTCTGTAAATATTAATCATAGGCTTATCTTTGACATGTGATTAAGTTACGGCTGAATTTATGCTTTTACTTTTGTATCAGACTTCATAGTTCTCTGTAAAATAAAACTCAATGTACAGAAGAAATCGGCGCCTGTCTCAATTCTTCTGAGGCACGAAAAGTTCTAGAGAGAATACCATCTCGTTTATCCTTCCCATCCTATCCGACCAATACTTATGGGCTAATAAAAGTATTAGGTTTTCATGTCTTCCTTTTATCAAGTTTTATGGCTTTAGTGTTATAATTTCGGTTACCTTTGGGGTTAGTGGTTCGGTTCCTATAGTTTGTGGGTTTCTATCATTATTTCCTTACGCAAATAGCCAATGTATTGAAGGAATAAGTGTTTACAATCGTATGACTCGTTTTATTAGCGCTTTCCTTAGAGAAGCAAAATTGTTTGACAAAGTTTGCAGTTTATCTCTGCCTTTTTTCTCAATTTAGGACAAATAATATTTTATGAAGAAAGAGACACTTTAAAACTTGTTTGCATTTGAAGAATATTCTTTTAAGATGAAATCAATTCAATCGGGGTCCATGCACAGACGCAGTGATCGTTTGTTTCCTATTCATCCGCATAATTTAGATAAAGTTATACAAGATGAATGGAATACAATTATACAGTGGTTATGTGATGTTTTATCGTCTGGTGATATCATGTGTGAAATTAATCCAGTATTTACTACTATTCAAAGGTTAGTTATGTCGATACTATTACATTTGATAATCATTTTATTAATCTGGTTCTTAATCCACAATGTATATTTGGAAACTTTTCGAGGAAACGCATGTATTTTGATCCTTAATAACCAAATTTCATTCGCTTGTACATGAAATATTTAATTGTGAAATAGATCACTTTTTAGTGAGATAATTCAAAAGGACTTAATTTGCTGAGAAGCGATACAAATTTCTGTTATGTGATAGCCACCTCAAATTAAATTTACACAACAACAATCTAGACATTGGGGTGGTAGCTTAGTAGTTGGACCACTCGGCTTTGAACCAGTAAGTTTCGGGTCCTAACTTCTTTCCATCTACTTCAGTTTGGGCATCCGAGTAGTGTCTCTACACCCATACATCCAAGGTATCGCTTAAAACTGAGCAAACAAAAATGTACTTGGTAATTAAGCTACAATAAGGTAGGTCGTAGATTTAAACTTAACTCTTCTATGTCAGTCTGAAGGACACACATTAATACAGAAATACTTTGCAAAATCGAATTTACAGATTAGTCGATATGACCACGTTGATAAGTTTCCCGATAACCCATTCAAATCGAATAGATTTTCTAAAACAGAATCACTAACTGACTGAATTTATCACTAGAGAATCTATTATGTTATCTTTATACGAGATATTCAGCTAACGGAGTATGCTTTAACAATGATTAATGGGAGGAAGCCGAAAAAACCGATCAACCTTTAGTATCGCATCCATTGTATTACCTATGAATATACATTATTGTTTGGATTGTGCAATCATTCTAATGTTTAATCATAATCAATGAAATGTCCTTTTTTATCGCTATCCTCTAGATTTATCAATATATTTGGAATGCGTTTATCCAAAACACAGCGCATTGCTTTAATTCGTCTAACTGTAGCTTATATATGTTGTCCAAATATTGATACGCATGTTATATTCAATGCGTTAGAGCTTTTAAACAAGTTGATGAGGTATGATTATATATGTGTATGTGCATTTACTCAAATACTTAATGTTTCAATCACTTTGCATTTTTATCAGTCATAGGTATAGATGATTAACCTATAATTAGTGAGTTTTTAATTCTGTGTATTACAGATATTGCTTATAATATAGAGTTAGTCACTCTGTCGTAGGCAACTTCGAACGTGGCATGAATTCGTAACTATTCAGGCTATAACATATCACATCGTTATAACGATGTAAAAAATCGACAAAACGAGAAAAAGGTGGATATTAAAAGAACATAATTCTAAAGAAACAGACACGATCGAAGAATAATTTCAAGATTTAATTTTAAACAGATGATAAATTACACTAAGTCTCTGTAACTGGTTTTTACCCCTTATCTCCTAAGTTCTTTAATCATAGATTGTGATTATCGTGCCATCTCTAACCTGAAAGTTTGCACTTCCTGAAACCATAGATCAGCAAAAATAACTTCAAGGATTGATACGATATCTTAGTTTGATCTCTGTTGGTTTCCAATCTAGCCACAATTGCACGTCAAGGTAGGCCATTGTTAGTCATGCTTAACGTATGTCTCAATCATCCGTTTTGATGAGGGTTTACAACTTTATTAACCGACTTACTTTTTCTTCTTAAACCCTAAGAATACCTCGGCATTACTCATCTGGTGCTTCCACCATGTGCAAGTAATGTTTCTTATGCACTTATGATTAGGTGCTTAGAACGAACTAATGTATCATAGTTTCACAGTTGTGAAATAACACATAACGACATACACTTCAGTATCATTGCTTTTAAGTAGGCAGACAGACACCTCATACTACATTTGTGGTGTTTATACATTAATATTTAATTGTTTATAGTGTATACTTTTTTCATTTGACTCTTTGTGCAGTAAATCATATTCTCTACCATCATCAACCTTGTCTATTAACTGGAAAAACTTCTTGATATGCGAGAATGGATTGATGATGCGTGGCAAGCGAATTTTCACTTAATTCAACTGCCTAAGTAAGTTATAGTAATTATTATTTGTTCACTCAACCATAATGCTATCAGAATGACTAATTTATTACTACTTAATTGGAAGAACACATAAACCAACTAAATGATTACTACAGACGAGAGAACACTGGGAATCCATTAGTTACTATGGGTTCAGAGCTTTATCACCAATACATAATCTTGACTTTTTTAGTATTAAACGAAAAACGTTTATTTCCGATGGTAAGCTTATTGTATTTTTGAATTAATTTCCAACGGTTTTATGAAGTACCTAAATAATGCACCTGCTGTTGAGAACTTTCTGTTTCCTTGTTCACCTTCACTGAAGATAGTTCCTTGTTTATGCATAATTATATCCTATTGCATCAATTACGGTTACTTTTTCTAGAATGCTCTCCGATATCTTTATTTTGGGATTTTAGTTCTTGACAGCTTACTGTTGGCATGATGACATGTGTGTTTTTATCTTTAATTTTGACTATCTACTAATACTTGGGGCGTTGCGTTAGATTTTTGCTTCTAGGTTTGAATAGTCCCAATGAAATATTTTGCACGATGAAAGGGAGTTAGTTTATTTTCTAAGATATTGTTATAAAAAAAGTGGTAAAAATTCATAAAACGGACCAATGATCCATTGTTTGCTTGGTTTTGACTATTGTTATGTTATGGAACAGGTAAATCACTCAGCTTTCTACCGGGTTATTGCAGGTTCAATCCTCTCTCCGCCTATTTTAGTTTGCGAAACCAGGTAGTATCACTTGTCCTCCCATACAAGTAAAATATATCTCAAAGCTGAGTACATAAATCTTTACTTAGTACATAAGCAAATTATTCGTTAATCATGCAAATTACTTAAATGGAAGATAACGTTGGATTTTAATGAATGATGAGCTCTCTTACATAGTGTCAACATAATGCAACGACACAATGTTTCCTGATTTTCAACTGTTTACAAGACAGATTTATTGATACAAACACTCAAATAAATCAGTATCAAAAGAGATCTGATCAATAGAATAGGTCTTTTAGTCTAGTTTTGATCACAAAAGTAAACATAATTAGTTACGTCATTTAACAAATAAACGATTAAGTAGTAATAGTTTTGTAGACTATTCACATCTCAATTAAAAATCTCCTGTTGAGCTGATTATTTTTTGTAAATTAAAAAGAAGTCAACTGTACTTATCGAAATCTAGCAATTTCAAATTTACACAGTTTTATTATTGAATGTTGTTTATCCTTTCTTCATTGTTATAGGATATGATAAACATGTGTTTATAATAATGGATAAATAAACACATGACTTATAATAAATATAATAACAAAACAATAAATATACATTTTATTTTGTTTATCACAAATATTCAATCAAATTTATACACATATAACTTAATAAATATCGTGTTTTTCATCACTAGTATTAGTGTATCATGAATTTTATTGGTGGATATTTAAATGGTTTATGCTTTTCAGTTGATTCCAATTAACTCCTAATTTGTAGTTTTTCTTTTCGGTGAACAATTATATATATATATATAATTATATATATATATATATATATATATATATATATATATATTTGTGACCAATCGATTTTCAAAGGTTCTACCTTACAGCTGTGAAATAATATCTTTAAAAGTAGAGGATATATGTTGGAACTACCAACTGACCAGTACAAATATCGGGTCAAATGTATTAACTAAGAAAGTTGTTTGTTTAATGAAGTGAAAATTCTTCATTTATTGAGTTTGTTGGAACTCGTGTTATTCATGCGACTTACCACCGCAATTTATTATGGCTAAGGTTGGAGTAAATATAACAGAGGATAAAGGTGATGATTCAATTAAAATATGATATCAGTCATCAGAATCATTGACTAGCGTATTGATTTGTAGTTTTAGGTTCAGGCTTTCTGATTGTAATTTTCGGAACAGGCATAATTCGTAATTGAAGACTTAAGGTGATACAGTTCGTATTCGATTTGAGTGAGGTATATGAAACATTTCAAGTACTTATGAGTTTTTGTACATAACTTAGGAAATAAACATCTTAGTGTTAGAGCCATTGATGAAATTCGATAATTTAGAGAAATTAGATAATGAATCACCCGATATTAGATTTACTTAGGATTCAGACAATGGTAAATTACCTTTTCTGGATTGCCTAGTTATAGAAGGGATGAAAATGGATATTTTGATGTGATTGTTTTCGGAAAGGCAACGCACTCGAACGAATATTAAGGTTTCGAAATCCTCACACTCCATCAGTGAAAAAATATCAGTTGTCTTCAGCTTTTTAAGAAGGGCACACACATTGATGACAAGTGAAAAAAAGAAAGTGGGACTAATGAACATAACCAAAATTTTTAAAATAAATAACAGATGAAATCAACAGAGTACTTTAATGCAACATCGAGGTGTTCTTTAAAACATTCGATATACTACTAAGCAACTTTGTTCATCTTAAAAAACAAAATATCTAAGGATTCACAATCTAATTCTGCCTAAATTAGAATGTTCAAACCATGACTCAGTGCACATTGGATAAACATTTCGAGAAACTAGGATCAAAACAAGTATGAACATCGAGGAATTTAGTAAAATTTGAAAAAACTGGTCATAGATTCACGTGCTATAGTATCACGCCACAAGATTAACTTTGGTAGTATTGAAATTGTTCAAAACATTTTTAAGATCACAATGGCTCATGGCAGAAACACTCCATATTAGATGGAATTCAAATTGTCTGAATAGATACAAGGGGCTAAGATTAAATTTTACTTTACCCTAACACCTACTCTCTTAGTTCAGTCAATAAACTATATTAAATTTATCTATCACTGTTAAATAAATAGCATATTCATTTCTCATCAAAGCGAAGACGCTGATAAAATGCAGAGCCTTTTCATAGACCCCCAAATGCCCTGGTATGGCCGAGAGCGGGATGGGTTCGCCCTCTTCGAAATGCTCTCACACGTCCACGCGTATACATCCTCTGCCAGGGAGTCCTACTCACTGCCTTCTCGTGGCGGGGGACGAAAAGCGAATGTCCGGCGCTTTAACGGATCCCAAACCAAATCAATGGTGCACATGGGCTCCAGTATCCTGCGGGAACAAATAGAGTATGAACCAATTCCTTGGTCACCGGCTACCATGGGACTGCATCTCCTCACGATGCTCCACTGCCTTGTGGGTTACACCTTCAGGTCGAAGGATCGGGGTGTGGCCCCCTAAGACAACCACCTGCTTCGGTTTGGGCACCCGAGCAGTATCTCAGCCCGCACACAAAAACACTAAAACATGATAAACTGTCTACTTATGAAAAATATTCCTCTCGCTCCAAATAACAAGTGTGGCGCATATATATTTGGCGCACCCTTGTACCAATATGTATGTGTTCAAATAAAACATGATAAACTTTTGATAGCACTGAGTGACCACGCCAGAATGTTTGGGATGTGTTTCTCCTCCTCTAAATACAAGTTGTTCCTTCAAGACTGGTCTGCGTCAACACCCGAAGTAGTCGAACGCGTCGGCGATTTCACTTATCTTGGAAGTCTGATCAACCCTAATGGGTTATTGTCTGATGAAATCTCAGCACGGATTCAGAAAGCTCGTTTGGCTTTTGCCAACTTACGTCACCTAAGGCGAAGGCAAGATATCTGTCTATCAATTAAGGGACGAGTATACTACGTAGCAGTTTGTTCTGTTCCACTTTAAGGCTACGAAACGTGGTTATTAAGAATTTAAGACATTCGTAAGCTACTAGTATTTGACCACAGATGTCTTAGAAATATTGCTCGCATCTACTGGGATCACCGGGTACGTAATAGTGAGGTTGGATTCAGAGTATTAGGGAATGATGGTAAGTCAGTTGATGAGGTTGGTTCGCGTATTACGTATGCCTGAACACTGATTCAGTCAGTCAGTCAGCTACAAAGTAGGACCAGGTACATTTATGCATCGGTCCAAGTTGCCATACCTCATTAACACAACAAGATGGACACCGCATTCATAAAAGTAGTTAATTCAGAGGTGGTAATATATAAAAAGAAGACTGCGATAAGGATATAG